CAAAGCAGTTCAGGGTGGGGGTTAGGGAGCGCCAAGGGCCTGGGAAGGCAAGAACCCAGTGAGTCCTAAGAATTGAAAGGGAGCCAGTCTGCAGAGCTCAGTGGTCTGGAGGGAGGCAGAGGTGTGCTGAGCCAGACCAGGTAGGCAGGGGAAGATCTGTGACTGACCTCTAGGGCCATTGTGAGAGTTGAAATTCAATTCTGAATGCAGAAGGGAGCCTCCGCTGGGGGATTTTAAGGGAAGGAGTGATGTGTTAGAGCAGCTTCCATAAAGATGGTACCTGCAGCTGGGAGGGGAATGTGTTGGAGGTCACTGAGTGGCTGTGTTCACCATGGCAAAACATGTCCTTCTGTCCCTTGTTACAGGCACTGAACAGACTGGTAAATAAGATTGCCACTTGCCATCTGGTGTTTTACAGCTGGAAGGGCACTCAGAGAGTGTGAATAATGTGGGTTTGAGACTTTCTGATTTCACAGAGCAATAGAAAAAATGGTGGATTCACACTACAGCAGCTTTCAGTTAGAGATGGAAAGTAAAATCTCAGCTGTCATTGAGGATCATCTTCATTTTCTGGAAGAAAACGCTTTTTAGAACTAAAAATGTAAGGACATAATCTTAGAGAAACAAAAAAGGCCAGTTTTTGGGGGGTGTACCAGGGATTGAACTCAAGGGCACTTGACCGCTGAGCCACATCCCCAGCCCTATTTTATATTTTATTTAGAGACAAGGTCTCACTGAGTTACTCAGTGCCTTACTTTTGCTAAAGCTGGCTTTGAACTCATGATCCTCCTGCCTCAGCCTCCCGAGCTGCTGGGATTACCAGTGTGCGACGGAAAATGCTACACTTTCATTTTCCACATTTTGCTCTAAAACCAGTGAACACCTCATTAACAGTTCAGGTACAAATCCACAGATGAGCGTGTGGAGCATCATATTTAGGAACCACTGATCCCACTCCCGCAGCATGTAGCTCCCCTAGGGTGGTGACAAGGTTGAAAGGCAGAGACTGCAGGTTCATCTCATCCCATGACACCATCAGGCTGCATATTTCAGCTTATTAGCTTTGCTTTGCCAAGTTTCAAACACTGGACTGACTGCTCTTGACTAGTGTGGGATACACCGACCACATTTATCTCTCTGCCCGTGTTTCTGAGCACTATGACATCAATTAAGAAAAAAGACCTCAGTGAAACAGTTCTTGGCCTGGAGCCCCACAAAATGGAATCATCTTCTTTTTAAAGAGGATTGAGGTGTATCTCACCTGATCTTCAGATACGCTGCCACCCCAAACACCAACAACACCACGGCAATGACGGTCACTGTAATGGCGGCAATGCTGCCTGCAAAGGAGGAAAGGCAGAGAACAGAAAATAAAGGGGAGAACATGATGACCACAGTGGCTAATACCCACTTTCACCTGACCCCATTTTTCCTCTCTCATACCCACCCTTACCTGACTCCATTTTTCCTTTGGAAGAGAAAAGAGTTATTTACTTGAATCATTCTGCAGGGAAGTCAGAACTAGGACAAAACCCAGGATCTTTATTTTTTTTTTCAGTTGTAATGGACAAAATACCTTTATTTCTGTTTATTTATTTTTATGTGGTGCCGAGGATTAGACCCAGTGCCTCACACATGCTAGGCAAGTGCTCTACCACTGAGCTACAACCCCAGCCCCCCAAACTCGAGATCTTAATTCTGTTACTAGAATACTTTTTTTTATTATACCAACTGAAGTTTGGTAAATGGTCTATATTATTTTGGTATTTATTAAGAACTTCTGGTTAGCTTGGAATTCAGAGAACAGTATACAGCTATATTTGATTATTTTTTTAAGAATGACGGTGGTCAGCTACTGCTGTTGTTGTTCACAGGGACAGTGGATTTTAAATCCCTTGATGTCTTCTTTTATAGGCTCTGGCTCATCTTCCATCATTTTTGAGATATTGGAAGATAGGATGTTTTCTTCAAGGGTCACCACAAGTAATCTGATTGTTTCTTTAAATAAACCAAAACCATGAAGTTATATTTTTAGTGTCCACTTTAAAAGGGTCACTTTGATATGAGATGCACCCATTTGAATGATGCCAGCATATCAAAATGTTTTGTAGAACTTCCTTTTGGGAAGGGTGTCCAGCTTTCAGCCTTAAACAGTAAATTTGAATAAAGTCCAGTTTGGTGGACAAAATAAGGTCAAGCCTAGTAAGTAACACAATTTTTGGTTATTGTTTGTTTAGGTAACCAGATACAATTATAAAGTAACATGAATGCTTTATTCTGTAGTTTGAAATCTGGTTCCAAAATCAACTATAAAAAAAAATCCTTTGAGCACATTGCCTTGTAAGAATAACCATACTGCCTCTGAATACTACTCCAGAGCACAATACCCCTTTTGTGTGAGCTTTGGCCTAATGTATAAACTGCAGTTTTATTCCACCTTAGAAATGCCAAGAATCAGGCTCTTGTCCCTAATACTTCAAGTAACAGTTTGGCATTAAAGCTAGTGTTAGGGACCCACTGATTATTTCAGTCCACTGGGAAATCATTTAATACTTCAACCAATGAATGGGAGCATAAGAGATTTGGAGTCGGACATGTGGATTGATGTGTGGTCCAACCATAATTAGCTGTGTGACCATAACTGTTTACTTAACCCTACCTGCTTTTGCATTACTCACCTGCATGAAGAGAGAAATGAGAGTGTTCTACTTACCTCACATAGCTTTAAGGGGATTGAATGAGATGTCACAACTATCCAAATGCACAATCCCAAGCCAACTCCTGACTCTCACGTATTAGGTCTCAAAAGTGGTGGCACTCCTCCTCATTTCTGGAGATTTATCATTCTAGGTTGTTTTTCCATCCATCCTTTTATTTTTTTCCCCTGATATGAATGGCTTTTATTTATCGTTCTTTTCATTATCCCTTCCACCAAAAGATTTAGCGCATAGTTAAGAAGCAAAGCTACTTATTAGCACTTTAGAAACAACAAAAAAGCTTTTGATGGAAGAAGGCTATATCAGGCACCCATATTTTCAGTGGTTCATAATTTCTTAAGGAGAACCAAAGGGGATCATTGCTAACATAAAGCCAAAGACTAGCTCTTGATGTCTCTATGGAGACTGACCACATTCAACCATTGCAATGAGTAATACACTTCTGGACACTCATGTATTTATTTCTTTGCTCCTGAAGTCCTTTTGAGTTAGATTAGTATAATTATCAGTATAATTCTCTTTCTCTTTTTATTATGTAAAGAAAAAATAATGGCACTGAATGCTCAGCTGTGCAGATGAGGTCAAGTAGAGAAAGTCTGAGGTCGGATCCTTTTATGAAACCTCCATTCCTACTTTGTGAGGCGGCTCTTAGCTTCTTGGCTTCCAAACTGTGCTGAAATCGGAACAATTCAAAGTTCACTGAAGCCTCATAACAGCCCTTTTAAGAGCTTGTGAAAGGATTATAACCACAAGGTAAAGTAATGGGGGTATTTTAAGATTGAAAAAGATACAGTCATTGCAATTAGGAGCAGTAAAGAAATTGACCTTTTAATTTCTCCCTTTTAGAAAAAGGGAGAAGAGAAGGAATACAGTTGATTTGCCTATAAGACTTTTCTTTCTTGCCACAGGGATAGTTTCATACAGGAAATCTTAGGGTTGACCTTTTTCAAAGTTTCTTCCCTAACTCTATGCAGTTGGGTCTCCTCCAACTCTTGAGATTTACTGGATTTATTTATATACCACTTCTAACTAAAGATAAATCGGGCAGTTTCTAACTCCAGCACTGTTCTTTTTTTGTTGTTGTTGAGACAGCAAGTGATAAAGTGACCTGCTTCTCCTTCATGTGACAGGGGACTCTTTAACTCTGGGTGTAACCTGTCTTTCAAATGGGGCTCAGCAAGGCTACCCTTCCTTGTCCATAGAGGACATCATCGAGTATGAACAGAGCTGGAAATTGCAAGTAACTGCCAACCTGATAAGCACTTGGGGGCAGCTGGGCAAAGAGACACTTCTGAGAGTTGATATCAAGCTAAAAGGTCTGAGGTAAAATAGTTCAAATATTTGGACTTCTTTTTTAAGTATTCTGCCATCCACTGGCTTGCCTGAGAGGGTGCTAGCCATGGGAGCCAGAATCTTCTGGAAGTAGACCTTTGCCAGCCCTGAGTCTAGAAGATCCTGTGTCCTGAACTTGCTCCCAGTTCCTCAGCAGCTGATGCCTCAGAAGTTTCTGGTAACCTCAGCTCTGGGAAGTTCCACACCTGAGGGCTTCATGATTTGAGCATAAGAGGGTTGCTGAGCCAAGATTAGCAACGGTAACTGAAAAGGCTTTATTTCCTCCTTGTGAAAACAAATGTCATTTCCCCTGAGTTTTGTTTAAACTAATCTGGAATTCCCCTTGTCCTCCTCCCCTCTCTTTTTTCAAGGTGTGGCAGGGACAAGAAAAATGAAGATAGTGTGGCTGGAGGCAGGGGAGGCTTTGCCCCAAGAGGAAAGTGTTGAGTCCTTGGTGGGCTGTGTCCTGGGAGTGGAAGGATGGGACAGGTGGCTGGCGTTTCAGTTCTTCCTCATTGGGGTTTGTGAGTTACAGGCTGGATGTGACTCATGGTGCACAGCTCTGGAATGAGCAGAAACTAACAGAGAATTGGAGACACTTTTCTTTCTATTTTATAAGCCAAGATACAGGAATATTACACGGTGCTAGAACATTCCATTGTGCCAACATGTTCTGCCTCACTGAAGAGCTGTTAAAGATCCATAAACCAAAGCCTTCTTGAATTTTGTGCTTCCTGGAAGCCTGGCATCTCTCTATGTGCCTTTCTGCCACTTTCCAAATGGCTCAGAACAAGAATAAATGGGCTCAAGAATAACCATAGCTGCTTACATGTTACAGGTGATTACTCTGGACTGGCACTGTGCCAAAAGCTTTACAGCTCTTCCCTTGTTTAATATTCTTTATGAGATGAGGGGACTTATTCCCATTTTTTAGATGAGGAAGTTAAGGGCCAGGGAGTTTAGAATGTGATTGAGGTTTTCCATCTGGTAAATGATTGATCTAGCAACTGAACCCAGCCCTACACATCCAGCTTTTGCATTTTAAACATCAGCACACTTCCCTCCTCTGGCCCTTCCTCAGCTTGTTAGCTCTTAGTCTTACTTCAAGACCTAATTATCAATGCTTCTGAGACGGTATTCTCTTACCCTCCCAAGCAAGTGACAGAGCTGCTGTGTTCTCCAGCCTGTTTCCTTCTTCATCCATCCTGTGGCTCTTTCCATCTCTTTGTATGCTGTTAGCACCAGGCACAGTGTATATATAACGTCTTTTATTTAATATTAAACAAATGAATGTATTGGTGGGAAAAAGCGATAACTGGAACTTTTCTGACCCCAGTCACTGTGCTAAGAAAGTTCTCAAGCAGCAGGCTCTCTACCTGTTCATTTTGGAATCCTCTGTTCCAGGTCTAGTCTGAGTCTTTAGTCCTGTGATTATATCTGTGGTTCTACCATATCAGTCCCTTCCCCTCCATTCCTGCGAGTCCCCAGGGATGAATGGAGGAGTATTAATTTAGGAATATCCGAGTGGAGTCTGATGGTACCCAGGAAGCCGCCCCAGCAATCTCCAAGAAGGCCTTGCTGCTAGTCAGATCCAGTCAAGCACTACACTGAGGCACTGCTGGGATAAGCTGCAGGATCATCTTAAGGAGCCTCCCTCCCCATGTCTACAACTCACCCAATGACAGGTATGCCTTCTCTTTATCACACCCTCAGAGAGACTCTGCTCCTGTCCACTCAGTATCCCCCCACACTCACTGAATGTGCTCTGTGGTCTTTAGGGGCTTAGCAGTATTCCCAAGTTCCTCTGCGGACTCTTCTCATTGAGGGATTTCTTCCCTGCCCTCACCTTTAAACATGAAAGTAATATTGCATCTGAACTCTTTAGCAGAAATGCTTGCAATAATATCCAAAATGAATACATTGGGATGTTCTGGGGGTGAAGCTAAACAGCCTGTGAAAGAAAGAACATAATAGACTCTTTTTTTTTTTAAGCTGTTGCTCTTTCTGTGAGAGCTGGGAGCAGAGGAGGTGCTGGTAGAGTTTCCAGGGCGAATAAAAGGTGTGTGCCTTACTCTTGCCCATAGTTCCTAGTCCTGACCTGCATGCTTCTGGTGAATTCAGCAGTCTGTGTACCTAGAACATGCACACCAGCGCTTGACCAAGGTCGTGGGTGCGTGTGCACGTCTCTGTGATCTATTTTGAGAAGAGTGTTGAACACACCTCTTGACTGTTCATCACTATTCTTGCTCTTTTCTTCCTTATTCCTGGTCCAGATATTCAGGGAAAAAAAA